TAGCACAGACAAAAACATTCTGTCTGGATAGCAGGATAAGTATATAACAATATATTAATTCAGTTCCTGAAATATTTTGTTATTCTAGGGAGCTGAAAGAATTTATGCATTTTCCCAGTGTCTCATTGATACAGATATGACATTTATTTCACGATAGAGTTATTAGGATACCATTCTTGAGGTTCCAAATGTAGGCATAGTTTTGCTGGGTTTCTAGGATGCTCCTGTATCATTTGCTGCTACATGATTCTCAAATAAAGATATTTTGTGCCCTTAGCTTCACCCCTCTGTAAACATCATATTTCAAGATTCCTTTTGAAAAATGGCCACGAAGGAAGAAATCACGAAAAGGAAAAGATAACCCCAAATTTAACATTCATTGCTAGATTCAGTAAGTTGCATTTATTTAAATAAAAAAGAAATATACTATACATCATTGATTTAGTTTGAAACTGTCATCAGAAAAAGAATTCTTTGAGACAAAAATATTTAGTCCGTTTGTATGAAATAATTGATGGACTATAAACAGTGGAAGGAAACTGAAGTTCTATTTCCTAAGCAATTGCTCCTGTACATAACTGAATTGACTCTGAAAGTTTTCTACTTGAAAGTGCCTGTCCAAAGCCACAGTTAGTGGAAGAAGCCAACCTTGAAGAAAAATGAATCTTGAGTAAGAGAGAGAGAATTTTTTCAGTAAGTACCGAGGAACAATTCACTGTAGGTAATAAGAATGAGCCTTGAAAAGAAGAATTATCTCATTGATCTTGCCTGGCTGCTCAGGGAAAATATTCAACTGAAGAATCTCACAAGAGAAGAGGATGCTTCTGTATGAAATGGTGATAATTTAAGTCAAAAAAACAAAAAAACAAAAAAGCAAAAAAAAAAAAAATAAAAAACCAGACAGAGTGCTATTATTGCCATTAAGGAAATGGCTCAAATTTCCTTAAGAATCAAAAGACCTACAAATCAGGTCCCAATGGAAAAAGTCCCATTGTTAAAACATGATATAGAGGGGAAAAAAATGAAGGTAGGTTTCCTTTTGAGTGAAGACAATGCAAAGCACCTATCTCTCTTCCCCACCCTTGTTTATAAGTTTTGAAAGGCCCCTGGTCAAAGAAGATGATTAATAAGATCTTTATAGTACCTGTTTACATTTATTTTTCTGTCTAAATTATGCTCGTGCGCATTCTGAATTCTAGAAAATGGGACATATCCAAAATTCTCTAGGATCGCAACATGTAAGTTCTGCTCACCTTTTGAGAAAAAGCGGTTAGAAGAAATATTAGCTGAAAGTGGGTACACGTTAGAGTAAGCAGGAGCATGGCATAAGACATTAGCTTCTGTTTCTTTGGAATTAAAAAGAAAGTACAACCTGGGTTCTTAACATATCTTATTTTTCAGTCTCTTTAAATGTAGCAAATGAGTTGAGTTTTCATATTTACATTCTGAATGTATTCCTAGGGAGGAAAAAATGATTTCAAGTCTTGCAACCTCTGAAGAAGTAGCAATAACTTATTAATTGTGCCCTGGGTGATCTTAAACTGTGGCAGAAAAACAGCCTTAGAGACTTCCAAAGATGCATAAAGTTCTCCTAGGGGGAACAGTAGGGACACCGGGAGAATCTAGCTGCAGAAGTATTTCAAAAAAAGCCATTTACATGTTGAAGGAAAGGATTTAATTAATAGTGTTACAGCTGTGAAGTTAATATGCAGATCGGAGGTCCTATCACAAGGGACTGTTACATATTTTTTAAACAAGTCACTCAGTCCTACATTTTTTCCCGTTACAGCATTTGCATAGTAATAAATATAAGTCCCGAAGGCTTCGGGATGAGAATCATGATGTCTGTTAATTTCTTCAATAATAATAAAGATGATGATGTTGATGGCAATTATGAGAAATGCTATTTACCGAAACCTTACTCTTTGCCAAGATCCTTTCTAAGTCCTTTATATGCATTATCTTACTTAATACTTTCAACACTTCAGTAAAATTATTGCTGCGGTTTTCCTCAAAGGAAACAGAGACTCCAGGAGATTATGTAAATGCAGACCCATAATTATCACTGATCCCACCACACATGTACACCTTCCTTAAAAACAATCCAGCAATTTCCTTCAAGTTCTGGAAGATCTGAGGAGAATCAGGACCCTCAAGACCAGTGACAAACACATGATGCACAGCTGATTGGCAGACGAGCTAAAAGGGAGAAGAATATTTGGATGTTGGCATCAAGAATCCCCAGGGAGGTGGGGGGGACGCCTGGGTGGCTCAGTCATTAAGCGTCTGCCTTAAGCTCAGGAAATGATCCCTGGATTCTGGGATCGAGCCCCGCATTGGGCTCCCAGCTCAGTGGGAAACCTGCTTCTCCTTCTCCCATTCCCCTGCTTGTGTTCCCTCTCTCACTGCCTCTCTCTCTCTGTTGAATAAAAAAATAAAGTCTTAAAAAGAGAAAAAAGAATCCCTATAAGATCCCAAATGTAGAATTGTTCATGCCCACAATAATGTGCACTAATAGTTAATAAGGATGATTACGTGGCTCCTGTCACCGGAATAACACTGAATAGAGATAGGGTGGAAATCAATCTGAATCCAGTTTTTGGGAAAAGATCTGTTATTTTAGAATGGATATTTTAGGCAAACATCCAGGCCAAAGGAGACTTCTTTTAGTCTCTCCAAGTGGGTAATGCCAAGAAATGCCTTCATGAACTAGTAAGAAATAGCTCTAAAAAAGTACATCCCAGCATATATGGAGAAGGAATTTCTTATAAAAACCACAGTCCAGTCTGGAAAGGTTGCAGAGGGGCTTGGGTTTGTCAAATGTCCTTAACTCGGTTCAAGTTTTCAGAATAGATTTCCTAGACTGAAACTGAGGCTAAACTGTGGCTAACCAGGGAAATGTTCCCAGCCTTTGAGGCAGTTAATAGAAGGAGAACAACAGAAAATCTTTGGAGTCATCTATCCTTTTAATGACCTAGAATAGTTGGTTGATTGCCTAATGGCATTTGAATGCGTGATAAAATGAGTGACTGGGCCTAGTATATCCGTTGTTTTTAACCTTGCACCCAAAGAAATGAGAAAGAAAAAAAAACCCTTAACAGGCATATTGATATTAGAAAAGCAGTTACAAAAAGCAGTTTGCTGAAGTTACCTTGCGCAGCAGAGGGAAAACAGACTGGTATGGGACAAAGACTACTATTATCTTCTTACCCCTTGCTAGGGTTGTTTTGAAGGTCACCTGAGTTACCATAAATGATGTGCTTAGAACAATGCTTCATACCCCACAAGTGTTGATTACCACTACCATTTATGGGCAAACTGGTCCCGTTTATATCTCACTAAGACTTAACGAGGTTAAATGATTTGCCTAAGGACCTGTGGTTAATAAGTCCTAAAGACAAGATTTAAGAGAAAGACTTAGGATTTGAAGTTCAGTTTCCTTTTAGCGCACCATGTTACCAATTCCACAGGACCAGTTTCTTCTGGTCTAATATTTTTCCAAAAAAAATCGGTTTATATGGAAGAAAATAGAAGAGAATTACTACCCTGTACAGTAATGATTTAAAATGACCATTCAAATTACAAGATATAAAATGCCATGGTTTGAAAAATGCTATGCTTAACTTATTATTCACATTTATTATATTCACAAAATTTGCATTTTAAAATTACTTTATAATCTGCATGTTACAGAAGATACCAAGGCACTGATTTAAGTACTTTTTTCTGTCTTAAAAATTAGAGATAAAATGTGATTAATAGCACAAATATTAAAGGTAGGTACTTGTGCATTTGTAAAAAAGTCAGTATTAGCAATGTCATTTTTGGTTCCCAAACACATTTGCCAATGTGAGAAAATGATGACAAGTTCTAATTATAAAGTTATAGTGTAGAATCAAGAGTAACCAAGTCAGGAGGTTCTGGAGAAAATCCTTCAGGGAGTTTTGCTGCTTAGCGGAATCAAAAACTCTTTGTTACTCTATTGGACTTCAATGGAGCCTAACAATTCTGAGTCTGTGCTGGCCAATGCAAATTTCTAAGATCTAAAGCTGCAAATGCTCGTAAAAGACCATTATGTTAGGCAGACATTTTCAGACGATCATACAATAGAATAAGTGAGCAGCCACAGAGTCGATAACGAGAAATCTAAAAAAGGAAAAAAAACAAAACAAAACACAACAACAACAAAACTACAGCTTTCTTATTCTTCTGTAACTATACTGTTCCATTTCTTCTCTATGATTTCTACAAATAAAAATTGTGCTGGTTTAAGAGGAAAATGTATGAGACACCCAGCTAGAAACTTTACCCAAGATGCTTTTACATTGGGATGGCCATCAAAAGCCGGTTTTGTAGGAGTCACCGTGAAAATTGTGTGCTCTGCTGATACTAGTCATAGAGAGAAATGAGGCTGGTAACATGTTGCATCAAGACAGCTCTCTTTGAGCAGAATTTCAAGGTGCACTTAGTTGTTAGTCAAGTGACCCTCCAACTACACGTATAAGGCTTTCATCCTTTGTCACACTTTTTTTTTTTTCAGAATTCGTATTGAAGCAAAGGTAGCGACTTGCTATTCATATTGATTATATTAACATTTTCACTAATCCCCATTTCCACTTTAAGTTATAGGAATGCTCAAAATCATTTTTCACTTAATATTTGGGGCTGTTGACATTGTAACATGAAGCCTTTTTAAGCGGGACACGAGGATACACTAGAAGCTGAGTTTCAGTACAGCGTAACAAACCACCATAATGCCAGTTTTGAAATCCCATTAAATAACACTCACCCAAGATCATTCTTTTCTGATCAGTATCCAAACTTATTTTCGATTAGTATTACATTTCTAGAGTTACTTAGATTACTCTCTCTCTCTCTACACACACACACACACACGCACACACACAAACTCACTCTATACACACACATACATAGAGTCATAATAATTATTTATTAGTGTCCTCTTTTTAAAGTGTACTTTAAAAGCAAGATAAACTTACCTTAGAGAGTCCACCTACTTCCAAATAAAAGCAGATAATGAACACATTCCAGGTGACCCAGAGGGCAGTCCATACTGTGTACTAGAAAGAAAGGGGGCAAGGGGGAGAAAGAGTTGAAAAAATGTAGAGATGGAAGTCATGTATACTAAATAAATCAATAATAAAAATGTCAATAAGTCTAAGTCTTCTGGGAAGAAGTAGGGTGCATTCAGAAAAGAGTGCTCCTTATGAGGTCCCCTAAGATCTAGAAATTAAAAATCCAATAGTTTCTTCGGCTTTCAGTAGATGCCAATAAAGCTAGATTTATTTTTAAAGTGCTTTGCTGGCTTGTAGATAAAGTTAAATACAAGTGCTGACTTGATTTCTGTTTTCTGAGTATTAGCTTTTCCAGGGAATACAATTATGCACATTTTTGTGAGTTATCTATCTTTTAGTTATAATATTAACCTATCAAATTTTTAGGAATGTTAGTCAAAACTTGGCACTTCATATCTCTGAACAAAGACCATGTTTGAAAATAGATGTTTGGGGGCGGCTGGGTGCCTCAGTGGGTTAAACCTCTGCCTTCGGCTCAGGTCATGATCTCAGGGTCCTGGGATCGAGCCCCACATCGGGCTTTCTGCTCAGTGGGGAGCCTGCTTCCTCCTCTCTCTCTCTCTCTCTGCCTGCCTCTCCACCTACTTGAGATCTCTGTCTGTCAAATAAATAAATAATATCTAAAAAAAAAAAAAAGAAAATAGATGTTTGGAGTAAAATTAACAAACTTTCCTATTGAACTATTTTAGTATGAGTGGAGTGGGTATACCTCCAAAGCGATCATGTAAAATATTTTTTCAAAAAACACAAAAATTAAGAAATAGGATGAAGAATGACCAAACAAATGACAAATTTCCATAATGGGAATATACCTTCCGATCACATCCAACAGACTCTAAACATGATTGCCTTACTGATTAATTGGTTTTATTAGCATAATATGTATTAGAAAATGCCTTCCCTGAGAATATTGGTCAGTCTGAATTAAGGTAGCCTTAGATCAAAACCCATCTGTGGAGAAGGTCTTAGGGCACAACACACCCAGTCACTGAAGGAGAAACTGAGATATACAACTGACATACGGACTAGCTTGGATGACTGAGGACAGAATTCACTCTGGAAATGTAATACAATGGTTTTCTCATTCATTTTACTGTACTACAAAAATCTATAAATCCTTAATTCTTTAAATAGACATACTAATTAAATCGCTGCTTTTAGTGGTGATTTTAATCATCACATGTTACTGTCAAATTAAAATAATTATTGAAATAATTTCATTAGCTTACTCTGTGCTATCTCAAATAATAAAATTATGAGTTTTAAACATTGTATAAAATAGCCACATTCCTATCGGAATCCTTATCAGAAGCTTTTAACTATTCATAAAATTTAATTTACATTTTCTATCTTTCTGTCATTTATGATTTTTAAAAGACTTTCAAAATAATCTTATGTAGGTGCAAAGTTTTATAAATGGTTACCTTTGATGTCACATCATCTTTTGTGAGGGGGGTTTTACCTTCGCTTTGTTATAAATAATAATAATAATAATAATTATTATTATTATTATGAGTTAAGGTTCCAAAATCACTGGAAATTTAGAGAAGCTGGCAAATAAGTTAAATCATTAACACAAATTAAAATATACAATGAGGTTTTTGGTATTTGTAGATATTGTCGATGCTTCCAGTATTTTCTGTCAGTAAAGTCTTCTGATATGAATGGAGTTAGACAGTTTTTAAAATGTGCCAAGTGCCTTGAAATACACTTTTATAAGTCACAAAATGTTCCTATGAATAGTCAAAATAGCTAACCTTCATCCTCAACTTTTTGCAAACTGATCAAGTCACAATAACCACAACAAATTTTAAAGCTGTTGCTAATCGGTATCTGACATTTTTCCTTCTAAATTAATCTCATTATGAGTCTATCAGAATGAGAGAACAGTGCAGACTGCTAAGTCATGAGAAAAAAAAGCCAATGATAAAGGTTAAGGTAAGGACATAAAAGAAAGTAAGACTAACATAAGGAAATAAACAAAAGTAATTGCAAAGCTATATGATTCTTAATTATTAGGACAGAGAACTTAGACGTTTAAGTGTTCTTTTAGAAAAGATAATCCACTCATGATTATAACAAATGCATAATAAAATAAATCTGTTTAAAAATCACTGCACTGACTCAGTGACTGAAGTGATTCATGCCACTTGTGAACTTTCAAAGATAAAATTATCAGGCTGAGCAGATTCCAAATGTCAGCTGCTAATGCCTAACAATAACATGAGCTATTATTCTGCTGCTTTCTATGTTCTTGGTACTGTGTTAAGCACTTTCTCTGTTCCTGGTACTGTGCTAAGTACTTGATATTGATCAAGTTATTCAGCCATCACTCTAAACCAAGCAAGAGAGAAATCATTTGATCACCTACTTAGTGTCATAGCTGGGAGAGGAACTCTAACATTATGACTTCAGAGCTGAGATCCTTAAGCATTACATGACAGGTTTCATTTTAAAAGATCTTAGGCACAGGACCATGGAATAATTTAGAAGTTACTACTTCACCAAATTTTGCGACTTATCAAGTGACCAATTCACCAAATTATCAGTTTTTCAAAAATTAGCTTCATTTCTATAATTCTGCCGCTGGCAATGTATTTGAATAACTATTTTGCACTCGGCAACTAATGTGTTTTGCGTGATATAAACATTATGGTTTTTTAAAGCCATACTCTAAGCTTCTTTCTTCTGATATTGGTTTGTTGAAAACAAAAAGTATTTGTATGACTGAGTTTTGGACAGTTATGACATGAAAACGATATATGTCAGCCTGCACTGGAGACACAAGTCTCTACATAGAGATATAGGGAAAGCGAAACACATCCATAGGCATTTACCTACACAGGAAGTATTAGGACAACATATGTATTCTTTTTCTTAAAGATTTATTTATTTATGAGAGAGAGAGAGAGAACATGAGCGAGTAGGGGGAGGGGCAGATGGAGAGACTCTTCAAGTAGACTCCTCGCTGAGTGCAGAGCCAGACGTGGGGCTCTATCCAATGACCCATGAGATCATGACCTGAGCTGCATCCAAGAGTCAGACATTCAACCCACTGAGCCATGCAGGCACCCCAATATATGTATTCTTTTTGACATGGGTTATTTTATTTATAATTCAACTGAAATGAGAAATAAAAAGGAAATGAGTCCATTTTTAAGAAATACCTTCTGGTTACCATGGAGCATGCCTATATGCTCATATATCCAGATACATATACTTGCAGTATAGAAAACAACTTCCCAATATAGATAAAAAATTACTCTGTATAATTACCTAGCTACCTATTTATTTGTTGTACTTTGCCTATGTTCAGTACACATATTTTAAGTCCTAATTTACATAAATAAAGCCTATAAGATGAAACAAAAAACGTCCGTGTGTTTTAAGTAGCTTCCTGAATATTTCATGGTTTTACAAAGATAGTTCAGTGTTTTTTAAGGGAAATGAATTTTGGAAGTCTTGCAGTCTATTTCTTCCTCATTGAGCAATTAGTCTATAACATGAATTATTTTTAGTTCCTGAGCTTGTTTTCCAATTACCAGAAAGGCCATTTTTTCATTTATTCACATGTGCATCAATCAGATACAGTATTATGCACAATATATTAGACTTAGGATTTTAAAAAGTAGGTTTCTTGCTCACTCATTGTTCTAACAGTTTCTGGAGTTTAGTATTCATTTCCAGAAGAACTTGAGAGTAATGTGCTGTCCCCTTCATTTTAATTGCTCCAAAAGCAGAGTGAAAGCAAAAAAAGATATATTGAACAGTTCAGTCATTTACCAAGCACTTACTCTGTGTTCAGTTATGGTAAGCAAGTCACATACATTACATAATATAATTCTTAAAGACAATCTGAGTCAGGTTTTTACATATGAGGTTAACTATGGGACAAATAAAGTAAATTAATGCCCCAAGACTTCACACCCAATAATTGGTGGAGGGGATATAATATAGGACCAATTAAATGGAAAATGGACACTTTTTTGATTTTATTTTTTCAGTGTTCCAAGGTTCATTGTTTATGCACCACACCCAGTGCTCCATGCAATACATGCCCTCCTTAATACCCATCACCAGGCTCACCCATCCCCTCGCCTCCCTCCCCTGTAAAACCCTCAGTTTGTTTCTCAGAGTCCAGTCTCTCATGGTTCGTCTCTCCTTAACTGTCATGCAGAGTAGTAGCTCAGGAAGGAGGTTTATGATGACATAGCAGGGAATTTTCCCCATAACAATTCAAATTACACAAGTTCTTGTTTGCACATGAGCTTTTTGCATAAAAGTGCCAATAACTAAACTGTGGACCTAGAAAATTAATTTGGCTTTCTTTCTAATTTTTTAAAAGCAGTTTTGAATCAATGTCCAAAGTTGGTATTTATACAACAAAATTTTTAATTAGCTAATGATTTTGCATTTAAATTAATTTAAAACTGCCTAATTCAATTAGTGCCCATGAAATAACAGATTTAAATAATCCTAAGTAGAATCTCATTTTGGGATGTCTATGTAAGATTTAAAATATTTGATATAGGAATAAACAGACAGGAAGGAACAGTTGATTCTAGTACAGTACTTTATGCTTTCTGCTTCATTTTGTCTATAGTGAAAGAAACACAAAAGGTGTATTCAAACCCTACAACTGACCTTGGTATTCACTAAATAGACATCTCTGTAGATAGGTAGATGGATAGATAGATATCTCACACCTTGCACCTATGCTAAAATAAATTTCAATCAGTAAAAAGTACCATATGACAAAGTTGTTTTGGTGTTCTAAAAGTAAATATAACAATAACAAACTGCACCTTATCTGTAGTGATATTATCCAGAGTGGAATTACTATTCTTTTGTTTTGTGATTGGCTGCATTTTTCTAATAGTCTTTGCTATAGGACCTCCTCAAATACAGTGGCAGGAGCCCACTACACTCTATTGCTTAAAAAAAAAAAAAAAAAAGAGTAGTAAGTCAGCTAATGGTAGGTGAAAGCAGAGCAGCACATATCACATATCATGTAAATCCTCAGTTGAGCTCAAATTGAGATCAAAAAGACAGTAAGGCCAGTTTCTCTTATTGAACTATTGTAGGTATGTTCTGAGATAAGAAATCACTGTCCAGTCCATCCTATGAAGTAATCTCATCCAATAGACTTTAATTCATTTATTCCTTGTTGATTCAAGTATAAGTATCTTTAAAGCCCCATGCATACCAGGAGAAACCTAGAATACAGCAAGGGGTAGGAGCAATGAGCCTGCCAGCAGGACATGAGTGAATGGAGCGAGACAGGAGAGAAGCGAGGGTTGTTGCTGTGCAGAGAGCTAGTGTGGAAGGTGTCACCAGGATCCACGGGAGCAGAGAGGAGGAGGTACTTACCCTGGAGCAGGGTACTCGGCAAGGCTCTTAAGAGGTGACCATTCAGTGGAAGCAATAAGAGTTTTCCAAGAGGCCAAGGAGAATAGGGCATTCCAGGCAGAAAGTAGAGTGTATGCAAACAGAGGAGGCAAGAAACGGCATGTGGTCTTTAGAAAACACAATAGCTGCACACAGCTGCTATGAGGTAGGGAAGTGGGGCGGGCAGAAGAGGTAAGCAAAGGAGCAGTCTTTATGAGCTTTGATTTTCCATGCTAGGAAGTCAGAAGTTTGCCAATAGACACTGTAGAGGTTGTTCTGAGTGGTCCTTTACCATAACCATTTTCATAAGGGTGATTAATTCTTTAAATTCAGCTGTGATAAACCCTGTTTGTTATCAGAAATGGCAGTAACTTACCATCTGAATTTCAGTGCTCCAAAATGACTGTTACTTGGAAATGGATTACGTTTAACTGGCATTATGGATGATTGTTTCAGCCAACAAAGGATACTAAAACTAAGAATACTGCAGGTGAATTAGAGAGAAAATCTCCTGCAATCAAAAAGCTTTCTCCCTGCTCAGTGAAACTTCAGTATGAATTTCTGATCCAGGACTCCTCTCATTGCCACTGAAAAGTTGGTGCCTCCTGAGGCACCTCTTGATTAACGTGGCATATGCCATATTTGTTTTCTGACTTTTTCATACTAGAGTTAATCCCTGGCTGCCAGTGGTAGATTCAAACCAAAGCATTCATGGAAACAACTCAGGGATGAACTACCCATGGTGTGAAGAAGGTAACATGGCCTAGCCATCCTCCCAATAACAACTTGATCTTCCTATTAAAGGTATACTTTGTGAATAGATTTCCCATGCTTGTGGATTAAGGATTCTTCAACCATTTCTCCCAAATGGACAATTTATACCCATGTTAGAATAAGAGGTAATCTGGAATCCCATACAGGTGACAATATTCTGTGATCAGGATCCTTTTCAATATCAAAATTTATACTGCAATGCTACCATATCATCTGGAATCTGGTGGTTAAATGTAATATAATAATCATGATAAATCAACTTCAAGAACCTGACAATACACATCCAGTTCTGCCATTTAACTTCCTGGCCTCCTGGGGTTGGTCACTTAACCTTTCCTTGTCTGTAAAATTAGGGATGCTGACACATACCCATAGGTATTTGTGAAAATTAAATCCAACGGCATCTTTGGTGAGGAGGGCTTTCCCACCAACTCATTGCTTTCTGGGATATGTTCTGTCCTGGGATATGTTCTTAAGTGAGATAGCAAACAAACAGACAAAAGGTAGAAATCTGATTGGCATCCACATTAAAAGAGAAATTCAACATGAGTAAAACCATGGATTGTTTTTCTAATAGATTTTTCTTGAAGACACTTAAAGATCTAAATCCTCCTCCTCTTATGTCCAAGAGGGAAAATGGAGAGGGGGAAGAAAAGAAAAGACACCAGAGAAAGAAGTGACACCAGTTCTATCATGAGTGAACTCTGAATGGATAAACAACTACATGGGGAAAACCATAAATACGTATTTACTGAGCATCTAGTACATTCCATGTTCTCAAAGAACGCTGCCTAGTGGGAGGACATAAGTGTGAACCAATTATAAAACATGCTCAAGACATAGAACAGGAGTGATTAACTACTGATCAACCCAAACAATCCTTGCGTAGAATGAAGGAAGTGTGCTCCAGTCCCTGGAGGACTGCAGGGCTATACGGGTGAGAGGCTGGAGAAGCGGGTAGCAGCAGGACGCAGGACGTGGAAGTGTACAAACTCTCAGCCCTGCCACCCTTCTCATGGCCCTTTCACAATCTTTTCATCACCTCCTGAGACCCCGGGTCTGTATTTGATCACCAACATAGCCCACACTTAACACAATGCCAAACACATGGCAGAAACTTGATAAATAGTATTTGAATGAATATGTTAATGAAGAAAAGGAGGAAGAAAGTTAAGAAAGAAGGGAGGTAGATGCACCTGGCTGGCTCAGTCGGAAGAGTGCGCAACTTGATCCCAGGGTCATGAGTTTGAGCCCCATAGAGGATGTAAAGTTTACTTAAGTAAATATATATATATATATATATTTTTAAAGGGAGGGTAGGAAGGGGAGAAGGAAGGAAAGGAGGGAGAGAGGACAGACTGACTGTGAGATCCATGCTCGGTCAGGTGGTCAGCCAAGGATATTCTTAGATTTATCTTGCTAAGAGCTAGTGAAGTGTTTTAAGCCCATGATTTAGGGAAAATGCAAAGGACATACTGGAAGGTAGGAAGGCCGAAAGCAGGCAGGAAGTCCATTTCCCGGAAAGAAAAGTCAGAAGCCTCAACTGTAGCTGTGTGAGAGTGTGTAGAGCTAGTATGTGGAGGGTACCACCAACAGGACCAGGTAATGGCCCTAATGTGCGCCAACAGCTTCATTCCAGAGAGGTCACTGGCTTTCCAGCTCCCTGGCATTTGGGGCTTCCGCGGAACACCAAAATCATAAAATATAAAGTCTGTGGTGAGTAAAAGTGCTGTGTTTACAGTAACAAACTAGAAAATAGAATCCAATATGATAGTTTGCTATTACGCATATTGAAGTGTTTTAAGCTACAAATCCGACTGCATGAGACACCCTTCTAGCAGATTATACATGCCTTAGCAGAGGCTGGCTTTCAGAGAAGAAGAGTAAGGCAGAAATTGTTCAGTCCCCACAGCTGGCTGGGTGATACCAAACTCTCTTAACACCCGGGCAGCCATTTTGAGTTCAGAGTCGGCTGTGGGTCACTTCAGTGATGTGGGGAAAGATACAAAAAACCAGTTGGAGATTCAAAATAGAGAATTAACGTATTCACAGAAAAATGCATAGCTTTATTCTTTCCACAGTTGTGCCTGGATTAAATCAAAATTGAAAGAGGGCATATGTTTAAGTCTAGGGTTTTCTTCTAGTGAGGCAATGTCACCGCATTGCAAGAAAATACTAATTCTTCTGAACATGGTATATATATTTAGGCTTAATAAGTATTTTAGGTATGTTATTCTTAGTTACAATCACTTATATAGGCTTAATTCTCACAACTTTACACATGTAGCCTAAAACACTGCCTTCTTTTTAGAAAACTAATTACTGTGAATAACTCCCATTTAATTGTGGAACACAGTATACACGTCATTAAACTGTCCTGCAATGGAGAGTGTGCTGACCATGTTTGGTGTAGTTGGAGTATGGAATTAACATTTCAAATTTATCTTAACAAAATGGAGACAAGTTCAATGATATAAAGTATGAAATACTATAGGGATGAGTACTAAATAACCTTCAGTGCAAGCATTTGTAATGCCCTAAATCATTTAAAATTAAGTTATATTATTATTATCAGTAAATAGTTATGGTTATGAAGGTTTGTTTTTTAGTGACATACATCATGGAAATGGCAGTTAATGTACATTTATGTCTCATCATGACATCCGGACCACAGCCAGACCTCCTACTCTATCCAAACCTTGTTTTGATTTTCCTTATGAAACTTGAATTCACCATTACATGGTGTCTTGATCTATGTGTCTCATGTTCACACTCATGTTGCTTTGATCTCACTGTAAGCATTCACTGAGTCATTTTCCCACAGATTAGCATCTCCAAACAGAATTCAATACCTAGAGGCTTGAACAACAATGCCACATCATATCCAAGGGAGTAACTTAACGATATTTCATTAACCTCCATTTAGTAATTTTGTAGCACTTATTGCAAGATACAGGATAAAAATAAAACTTACCACCACAATATATCGAGGTCTGTACTGAATAGTTCCAAACAAACCCAATATGACGACTATTATATGTAGAAAATTTCCAAGAATTGGTGCCCACTGGAAGCCAAGGAAGTCAAAGATTTGCCTCTCCAAGGCTGAGAGCTGAAATAAAGCAAAGAGAGTCCATTAGCATCTAATCCAAGCATCGTCACACCATTTTAATATTTATTTCATGCCTAGAGAAGGCTGCATAGTCAATTTCAATCACACTCATGGACATCATCATCACTAGAGTTGTGACACCCATTTCATGTACTATTTTATGCAACTTCTCTCAGAAAATATGCTAAGATAACTTCGAGGTTATAAAGTACAAAGAGATTTTAAACCTATCTGGAGAGCTTGACATATGCTCCTTAAATCATTTTCTCAGTAGAAAATCCAGGAAGATATTTTAGAGTATCATATTCTATGATATGAGTTCATCCATTTTTTAAAAAGATTTTTTTTTTTTAATTCAAGAGAGAGAGAGAGAGAGAGAGAACACATGCACGCTCATGAGGGAGGGGGTGGGCAGAGGGAGAAGCAGACTCTTCTTCTTCTGCTTCTCTCCCTCAAGAGGGATCTTGAGGGATCCAGATGTGGGACTCAATCCCAGGCTCTTAGATCATGACCTGAGCCAAGGCAGCCACTTAACTAACTGAAACACCAAAACACCCTGAGTTCATCATTTTTTAAAAGATTTTATTTATTTATTTATTTGAGAGAGAGAATGCGGGCACGCAGAAGAAGGGGGGAGGGCAGTGGGGGAGGGACAACAGACTTCCTACTGAGCGAGGAGCCTGATGTGACTTGATCCCAGGGTCCTGGTGAAGGCAGATGTTAATTGACTGAGCCACGCAGGCGCCCACCTAGTTCATCATTTTTTTTTTTAAATAAAATGATTGGCTCAGTATAACACACTTGGAAAAATAACTACAGGCTTGAATGCTAGAAGTGGTATGATTTTGGAAAACAAGCAAACAAACAAACAAGCAAAATAAAACCCAAATCTCCCACTCATCTCTGCCTTCTTGTAAGAAATATAGATTACCAAATGTATTTGGTTTCTTTGCTTTCATTAGTCCATCATGGATGATAATGACTAACCACTTTTTCATAATGAAGCTTAGTGATTTATTTAGCTCTGGACTCATAGCTCCCATGTAAAACTAAGTTAAATAATTCTTTTGGATCATATTTTATTGAGATCATATACTTATATGAGAATTCATCCTAGATTAGGCAAAATCCATTTTGAATGGAGAATTAAAAATTACAGGACCATTACAGTTATAGACATGCCACAGTTTATTACATTTGCATTATATACAATTACATTTTAATCAATTATACACAGTATTAAAACATACACTTAAATAATCTGTGTATGATTGATGAAACAGAAGAATTTCATAGAGTTCAGTGAATGCCAAAAATACCATTATCCTATTAAAATGATATTTATTGTATTGGATATCTAAAAATTTTATAGTTCCACCTGCTGTATTTGGACACTAATTTTATACCTTTTGGGCATTTTTCTAAATTTGCTTTGATAAAATAGTAATTCTAATAAAATGATCCCACGAATAGCTATGTTGATGGCACTAGAAACTGCAGATTTGAAATGAAAATGGTACCCTAGGTATTTTTCTAGTTATGTGACAGGTGTATGCCTGAATAGCTTTAATTTCCATGGACATAAAGAAATGTCCTCCATCCAGAAAGCTGAATTTACCTTGGTTAAAATTCACCTTCAGCAAGCTGTGGAGGAGAAGAGAAATGAGCAAATGCCTAAAGACAACCACACCAGAACCACATTCATTTCATGGGCATTTCCTGATCATCAAGTGATCTGTCACCATCCCTTGCTCGCACAAGTGAGAGGAAGCACGGAAATGGCTAAAACGTGAAATAATCAGAGGAAGGTAAGAAGCAGCACCATGTTTTCAATCCCCTGTTTGTTGTTCGTGACTCTAATTAGTTCCTTGGAACCTTCCCCTAAAAATGCAGCATTTTATTTATTGGCCCATCAGCGATGTAAATATGCAGTTTTTTTTATGTCCAAACAGGATGGATGTGCTCAGATAAAAAAGAAAGCCTGAAGAGCAGCTGCAGGCAATTTATTCTGAAAAGCAACCCTATTTTAAAGCTGTCGAGCATCACAAAAACCTTTAAAGTGAACTTTTCAAACAGAGAAAAATCCATTTTCTTTTCTGTCAGAAGATGCATGGACAGCATTCTCTTTTATGATATTAAAGAAAACACACATAATGAAAAAGAAGCTGAATTAACACCACTTATTAGAAAATCTGCTTTCTTTCTTGAAGACACTATATCTATTAAGTTTGTTCTCTGATAACTTACTTAAAAATGGATTCAGGTGGCTTAATATAAGAGCACAAATGAAAGGTCAGAAAAAATCTAAACAGGGAGGGGATCATATCGAGAATTAAAAGAAAGGGAGCTTTAACGACTAGTAGAGCCAAGAAAAGTAGGTTTCAGTAGTTGACCCTGAACAACACGGGTTTGAACTGCACGGGTTCTTAGATGAGAATTTTTTTATAAGTACAGGATGGCACCTTAAGTGTATTTTCTCTTATGATTTTCTTAGTAACATTTTCTTTTCTCTAGCTTACATTATTATAAGAATACAACATATAATATGCAAAATATACAAAATATGTGTTAATTGACTGTTTTCATTATTGTAAGCCTTCCAGTCAACAGTAGGCTATTGGTAGTTAAATTGTGGGGGAGTCAAGAGTTATATTTGGATTTTCGACTGTGAGAGGGGTTGGTCTTCCTAACCCTCCTGTTGTTCAAGGGTCAACTCTGTTGTATTTTAAAAAGTCAACTAAAAACAAAAAGTCCATCCAAAGTAAACAAACCACCATTGCATTTTTTTTACTTGATTATTTGATCTAATTTCCATGTTAAGTTATTTTGTCATTTAGTTTATAGGCAAAGATCTTCTCTCTAAATGTCATAATCTCTAGAGACACCACTTATTGCCTTAGAGCTTGACATTAATAATAATGACCCAGAGCCACTAAATGAAGTTAAATGAGATCCAGGTTGCTTTGTTAACTCAGAAAGGATGAATTTATTTTAGAAATATCTCTGTCAGAATGGTTCTCATCAACGGAGCATGCCCGGGAGTGCACACTGGGTGCATCTCTTCCCAAATCCATGGTCAGTGACCTTAAGTTGGGAACCTGACATCAACCATTATGGGAATATGTACAATATGGACATTGGTAAATGCTAAAAAGCAGGGTTTTGTTTGTTATAAGAATGTTAAACGTTACCTGTACACCACTGAATATAGCGCCTAGAAAATAGTAGTTCTGATCCAGAAAGGTAATGAAAGTAAATGATCAAATATACAATGCAGCATGAACAGAAGGCACCCAGCCCCGATGAGCACAGAAGCATGGATGGGCTCAAAGACAGTACCAGCAGAGATGCCACAGCAAAGAGAATGACTGAGACATTTGACGATTTTGAGATATCAATAGAGAAATCAGGAAAATTTAAAGGATACTCCAGAGAAAGCAAAAAACCAACCAGTCACCAGTGTAAAACATGAAACAGTGAGCTAAAGAACAACGAAATCCTTTCTAAGTAAGGCCTCTCTGCCTTTACCTTCTTTACCTACTGTAAAGAAGGTAAAACTCTAGAAGCTATAAGAATATGATGTAATAGGGTATGTTTCCTAATAAGATAAAAAGTAAATACAATCAGAATCTTAATCAAAGGAAGGAGAAGCAGGATGGAGGGAAAGAAGGAAGAGAGAGAGGGAGGGAGGGAGGGAAGAAAGAGGACCAAATCAGTGATGTAAGGAAAGCATGGTTAAAGATACAAAGCAAATTAGAATGGGGAGTTATTTTGAATGTAAATATGAAGAAGCCATTCAAACATTCTCCTTGAGTGGTAGAGCGATAGGACCATTGGAACTATAAGAGAGAAATGTAACCCTAGCTCATACTTGGGGCTGCATGAAAAATAGTCCATACTCATTATAATGTAAATGTTGCTTAGTGGATTACAGCTTTCAGAATCAAATTGTAAGAAGTTTGGAAGTTTTCATTATGGTTATGGAACAAAAGGAATGTGTGATTTGACTATATAAAGTATATTCAACAAAAGTTGGGAAAGGCTTAATATTCTGTATGTATGGCAATGGGAATGGAGTTGTGCTCTAAAATTCTTTTTGTAGGGTTAGGCATTTCCTTTCACCAGGCTTCAGGGTAGGAATATTCCTTATAAATCTATGAATCATTAACTGCAACCCACATTAACCACACATACCAATATCAAGAAATATTTCTGCTTCCTTATTTTATACCCATACAAATAGGAGCACCTTTAAAATACAGTAACTTTCTTATTTTTTTAAAGATTTTATTTATTGATTTATTTGTCAGAGAGAGAGAGAGAGAGAGAGAGAGTGCACGCACACAAGCAGGCAGAGTGGCAGACAGAGGCAGAGAGAGAAGCAGGCTCCCGGCTGAGTGAGGAGTCCGATACGGGACTTGATCCCAGGACTCTGGGATCGTGACCTGAGCCAAAAGCAGTGGCTTAACCCACTGAGCCACCCAGGTGTTCCACAGTAATTTTCTTATTGATCCATATATTATGTTTAATGATTCACATGGTATTTTGCTTAAGTGGTCATAATTATGAATAATTGTGAAAATTAATTTATACTTAATTAAAGAGCTATAAAAACTTTAGGTGACCAAACATTTCCCTGGGAATTTACCTAGGCTGGGTCTACACAATAAGCTTCTGCCCAAACAAAAGCTGGGTTAGAATGCTCATTCTTAAGGAGCGAGTACCCTTGGAGAGTCTACTTCCCAGTAAGAAACGTGAGCTGGCGTTTGCTCCCATACCCCTTGGCCTTTTACCCTGCTCACTGGAGGCAGACTCAATAAAAAAGATCAAAACAGGGTTTTTCATGTGGGTAGAATCATAAGAAAGCATTTGATCAAACCATAGTTTCATAAAAAGACTGTGAAATTAAAGCATATTGTATGACTGATATACTCATCTGTTTAACCTCTTGCCTAGGGATTCATGCAGTCAGTACTTTATAGCCATGAAGGATCACATCT